AACAAGTCCTCGACCTATGGTTACAGGGAACCTTCATTGATTTCCAACCTGAAGAAGTCCACATCTACTCGTTCTTACTGTGGGGAGTCCTATCAACCCTTTCCTCCAATCCTCAAGCCCTCACTCCCTTTTCCGCCCCTGTTCAGCAGGAAGCAGTCAGAGAGAAAGCAACGTCCACAACCCCATAGAGGAGAAAGGGGGGAATGAAGGGCCCCCACCCGTAAGATGGCGAACTTCCGGCTTCACTTCTGGGTCCTCGGTTCCCGACAGCGCCACCTGAAGCCCAATCACCTCTCTCCCCCCTCCCAGTCCCAGCACCTAGGCAATAGCCACCAGCCCCGTAGAAGTAACACCACAATCACCCCATGCCCCTTCCTATATAACCCAGCACCTTTCCCTAATAAAGCGGAATTCTCCGGTGAATTGCTGCTGTGTGTCGCTCCTTCCTTTCAAAAACCACAATAAGGTATCACCTCACACCAGTCAGAATGGCTACTACCCAAAAGTCAAGAAATAACAAGTGTTGGTGAGGATGTGGAGAAAATAGAACCCTCCTACAGTGTTGGTGGGAATGTAAATTGATTCAGCCACTGTGGAAAGCAGTACAGAGGCTCCTTAAAAAACAAAAAACAGAAATATCACATGACGCAGTAATGCCACTTCTAGGAATTTACCCAAAGAAAGCAAAATATCTGATCCAAAAAGATACATGCGCTCCTATGTTTAGTGCCCCATTATTTACAATAGTCAATATATGGAAGCAACCAAAGTGTCCAACCATCAAAAGACGAATGGATAAAGAAGTGGTACATTTATACAATGGAATGCTAGTCAGCCATGAAAAAGGAAGAAAATTTTGCCATTTTCCACAGCATGAATGGACCTAGAGGGTATTGTGCTAAGTGACATAAGCCAGGCAGAGAAAGACAAATACCATATGATTTCACTTATATGTGGAATATAAGAACAAAACAAAACAAAACCAGTGAATGAAACAGAAATAGATCAAGGATACTGAGAAGTGACTGGTAGCTAACATGGGGGAGGGTTTGGGGTGGGTAGGTGAAATAGGTGAAGGGGATAAGGAAGTACAAAATCTCAATTATAATATAAATTATTCGTTGGGATGAAAGAACAGCATAGAGAATGTAGGCAATAATTCTGTAATACCATTCTATGTCAACAGATAGCAACTACAGTAGTTGGGGTTGAGCATTTAATAATGTAGATAATTGTCGAATCACTATGCTGTATACTTGCAACCAGTATCATATTGTATTATCAAGTATCTTTAAATTAAAAAAATACTGTAGGTACTCCATAATCTAGTCAATCACCGTAAACAGTTTTCTTGCTAGATATTTCACTCTACAGTTATACCAATTCCCAACTCACTGATGACAGGCAGATTGGAGGATCATCAGCATCATTAATTAGAGCATTAGGCATCACAGGCCAAATCCATTGCAGTGAGACTGGGCCACCACACTTAAATGCAAGTCAAGTAGGCACACCTGGGCTGTTGGATATGGTCATCTGCACATTTTTCTCAGGAGAGTCCATTGCAGTGACTTAAGGTTTAACCTTATCACGTTTAACTGTTATTCCTGCCCAGAGACCTCCACGTGCTGGAGAATCTAAAGTAAACTGGGAGAATGTCCTCATTGTGCTGCGAGATTGGACATGAAATTTACCATGTCGTAACCAATGGTGGAAGTTGCATTGTATAGGGAGAACCCAGGAATGGGTTGGGTTTTCCAGATTTCAGTATAAATTACTTCATGCTCCAGGCTTTGCATCTCTTGGCTGAACAGTGCTAATCTGTTTTGGCCCCACCTCTTACTCATTCTAATCAGGAGGGCGAAAAATTTAACTCTGTGACGAATTCTCCTGAGGACCTTGCTCAAGACGATTCTGGATATGGAAGGAAAAGGGGAAAGAAAAATACGTCGTTTTTAATAGGGATTGCTAGCACTATGGTGGTTTAATGCTGACGCAGAGTGAATTCTCTCAGGAATTTTCGCTCATCTATCAATCCGGCCAGCCAGCCAGCCAGTAAACAATTTTTAACACATGAAAAGTACTAAGCACCATGCTTAGCATAGGGAAGGACTGGGGTGTGTGTTTATTTGGGCACATGCAGTAAGGTACGGATTTAAATTGCATTTAGCAGATAGATACCCAGGTATTCCAACACCATCTACCTAATGAACTGGGAAGAACTCTTTGATATCCTATTCCTATTAACTGCGGGACTTATTTGTGCATGCCAGGCTCTGCCTCTGGGCTTTTTATTCTGTTCTAAAGAACCAGTACCAGAATATTCAAATCACTGTGGCGTTCAACACGTTTTAATATCTGATAGGGCCAGTTTCTGCGCATTGCACTTTTTTTTTTCCTTTCAGGAACGCGTTCGGCCCGCGGCAGGGGGCGGGGTCGCGCCTCTGTCGCGGCTTTGGTTCCAGCGGAGCCTCACGGACGCGGAGATGGAAAGCCCAAGGCTGTTCCCGGCTCGTGGGGCACGACAGGGCGGCGGCGCTGGCAGCCCCGTGAGCGGCGGCCGGGACCACGGAGGCCCTGACACGCAGGCTGGCCAGGCCCCCATGCGCCGCCTCCTGCTGCTCCGGGGACCCCAAGATGGCGGGCCCGGGCGGCGGTGCCAGGAGGCTCGCGCGGCCTCACGGGGCCCGGGCCTGAGCCCTTTGGCGCCAAGGCCCGATCACACTGGCGGCGGCGGCGGCGGCGGCGACTTCTTCCTGGTACTGTTGGACCCTGTGGGTGGCTACGTGGAGACCACGGACACTGGCCAGGCCGCGGGGCCTTTACGCAGGGAGGCGGCCGAGCCGGGCCCACGGCTCCAGGCGGGCGAGAGTGGCGGGAACCCCGCGGGCCGCCCTGCTCGGGGCCCCCGCTGCCTGTCCGCGGTGCCTGCCCCAGCCCCGGCTCTGGCCCCGGTCCCTATCCCGATTCCCGCCCCAGGCCCGGGCCCCGCTGCGGCCTTCGCGGGCACCATCACCATCCACAACCAAAACCTGCTCTTGCGCTTTGAGAACGGCGTCCTCACCCTGGCCACGCCCCCGCCGCCAGCCTGGGAGCCTGGGGTCGGGCCTGCCCTGCAGCCTGGGGGTCTGATCGCCCCGCAAGCAGCGGCCCTGCACACCGCGCAGCCTGGCGACTGCCCCGAGCTGCCGCCCGACCTCCTGCTGGCCGAGCCGGCCGAACTCGCACCGGCCCCGGCACCGGAGGAGGAGGAGGAGGAGGCGGAGGGCCCGGCCGCCGAGAGCCCCCGTGGGCTGCTGGGCCCGGGCCCGGGCGTGGTGCTGTACCTGTGTCCTGAGGCGCAGTGCGGACAATCCTTCGCCAAGAAGCACCAGCTGAAGGTGCACCTGCTGACACACAGCAGCAGCCAGGGCCAGCGGCCCTTCAAGTGCCCCCTGAGCGGCTGCGGCTGGACTTTCACCACCTCGTACAAGCTCAAGAGGCACCTGCAGTCGCACGACAAACTGCGTCCCTTTGGCTGCCCGGCGGAGGGCTGTGGCAAGAGCTTCACCACCGTGTATAACCTCAAGGCGCACATGAAGGGCCATGAGCAGGAGAACTCGTTCAAATGCGAGGTATGCGAGGGGAGCTTCCCCACGCAGGCCAAACTCAGCGCCCACCAGCGCAGCCACTTCGAGCCAGAGAGGCCCTACCAATGCGCGTTTTCCGGCTGCAAGAAGACGTTTATCACAGTGAGCGCCCTGTTTTCCCATAACCGCGCCCACTTCAGGGAACAGGAACTTTTTTCCTGCTCATTTCCTGGCTGCAGCAAGCAGTATGACAAGGCCTGTAGGCTGAAAATTCACCTGCGGAGCCACACTGGTGAGAGACCTTTCCTTTGTGACTTTGACGGCTGTGGCTGGAACTTCACCAGCATGTCCAAACTCTTAAGGCACAAAAGGAAGCACGACGATGACCGGAGGTTCATGTGCCCTGTGGAAGGCTGTGGGAAATCTTTCACAAGGGCTGAACATCTGAAAGGCCACAGCATAACTCACCTGGGCACAAAACCTTTTGTGTGCCCCGTGGAAGGCTGCTGTGCCAGATTCTCTGCTCGCAGTAGCCTCTACATTCACTCCAAGAAACACTTGCAGGATGTGGACACTTGGAAAAGCCGTTGCCCAGTCTCCACTTGTAATAAACTCTTCACATCCAAGCACAGCATGAAGACCCACATGGCCAAAAGACACAACTTCCGCCAGGATCTCCTAGCTCAACTAGAAGCTGCAAATTCTCTTACACCCAGCAGTGAACTCACCAGCCAGGCACAGAGTGATTTCAGTGATGCAGAGCTAGTGTCTCTCTTCTCTGATGTGCCTGGCAATAGTTCTGCGGTGCTGGGTACGGCACTGGTGAACTCTGGAATCTTGACTATTGATGTGGCTTCTGTGAGTTCAACTCTGGCAGCGAATCTCCCTGATAACAATAATAATTCCTTGGGGCAGGCTGTGGATCCTCAGGCCCTGATGGCCACCAGTAACCTTCCTCAAAGCCTGGATACCTCTCTCTTTTTTGGAACGACAGCCTCTGGTTTTCAGCAGAGCACCTCAGATACGGATGATGTCTCAAGTCTAAGTGTGGAGCCAGTGGGATCCCTGGGCTCCTTGGCTATGAAAAACTCCGGTCAAGAGACCCAAGCTTTGACCCCCAGCAGTAAGCTAACAGTGGACACAGATGCTCTGACTCCTTCGAGCACACTTTGTGAAAACAGTGTCTCAGAACTACTGACACCAACCAAAGCAGAATGGAGCGTACATCCTGATACTGACTTCTTTGGACAGGAGGAAGAAACCCAGTTTGGATTCTCCAATCAAGCAGGAAACCATGGTTCTCAGAAAGAAGCAGATCTTATCACAGGGACTGGCAGCTCATTTTTGGTATGAACTAACTCTATTCATTCCTCGCCTCACGGCTTACTCTTACTAATTACACTCAATGTTAAAGATGTTCTGGACTAACTGTTTAAATGCAGTCATTTCTTTTAGGTCTGAAAAAGAGCAGAGTCCTGGGCGACGAGTTTGGAGATTTAAATTCTGATCTTGAGCCTGGAACTGACAAGTTGCGTGACCCTGAGCGAGCCACTTAACCTATCTGAGCCTTAACTTCCTTGCTTATAAAATGAGGTGGTTTGAATAGATTGTTTTTAAAGTCCTTTCAGCTCCATATTTTCATGGTTTTGTGCTCTTTCTTGAAAATTTTAGAATATTTTACAATAACTTGCACATGCTTCTATTGTAATGAAAAGTACATTGAGACTTAATAATCAGAGAACATGGAACAGGTGTTTAACATCTTATGGAAATTTTACACAATGCCAAAATATTTCTATAACTTAGTGTATGAGCTTTAAAAAAAGTAAAGGTAATTATGTTTTTGTTCGTTTTACCTATTTATCTTTCTCTTCTCTTTTTTTGGTGAAAAGCGGTGTTGTGCAAAGTGCCAGGGCTTTGATATAACTCAGACACAGAAATATTGACTTTGTGTTGTTGCATAAGTGGCCTTAAAAAAGTTATTTAGTGTCACTAAGCCTCAGTTCCCTAACTGTAAAATCATCTTTATAACGTACACGTGTCTTGTGCGTCTTACACTTTTTTTTCTATCCCAGTAGTTAGTTTTGCAGGGAAAATATTTGTGATTTGGCATGTTTTGATACATCTTTATCACTTTTCCTGCTCCTTATTCCTTCTCAAAGAGGAAAATTAACATAATTTTATAACACATTTGTGCAGGCAATAAAGTTTTATGAGGATTAAGAATCTCTTTCTTCCACAGATTAAGAAAGATTTTTCTCCACACAATTCTTACACGACACTGCCCACATGTCTTTTAGACCTGATTATAGTGTCTTTGCTGTGTATTCAAGGCTTGCCCACAGAGCGACTAGAGAGCCTGTGGTTCCAAAAAAAATCTGGGAATGGATCAGAATGAGATTTTCTCCCATCTGTGCCCCAGAGAATTCATTGCTTGCCTTCTCCCATGGTTGGAATGAGAGGTTTCATTTGGATTTTGAGTAAATAATTGTCTGTCTTACATGAGTATAGTTTTTTACAGTTTACGTGTCACTTTCACAAGTATTCTATTTGATCATCACAATTTTGTGAGATAGCCTTAGCAAAGTTTTAACTAAACTCATATTAAATATACCTAACTTACTTTATAAATGAATTTTGCTTAGTAACTCTTAATTGTGTATGTATGTATGTTTATATTTGTGTGAATATATATATAATATATATTTGTTATAGAATGGGAGTTACAGAATGCGAGTGTATGTGTGTGTGTATTTTATATATATACTTCTGAGTTTCATGATCCTTTTGTTTACAACCATATTTTCTGTATCACCTGAATTAATGTCTGTTTCCTTCTGCTATCTTTGTTCCCTCTCCAACCTATTCTCTAGCATGTACACACGAGTCCTTGTCATGATCTCTTTTTAAACTTTAATTAGGCAAGTCTTCTTCATGGTCACTATTTCTCAGCCTTTCTCTTCATGGCCCATTTTTTTAGTCACAATATTTACTGCAAGTCTGAGTGTGCACTAAGATATTGTTTTCTGGACTGAGATGTCATTGTGTATATATGAATCAAATAATAATGGCGATATTTTATGTAAAGTTTTCATGAGACATGAGACATGTACTTTTGCTTTTCTAAATTTTTTTTCCACCATATAGTTCTGTTAACAAACACTATTTGTTGCTCTGAAACATTCTAACCCAATATTATTTGCATGGAAATATTTGTGGATGACATCTTTATAATTTGCAGTTTGGCAGTGCACTTTATAATTTGTCACTTTGAAATGCATCCATACTAATTTTTAAATTGTACTCATTCAGTGAAAAAGCAAAAAGTATATAATATACATACATTTGTACTCAAATAAATGGTCAGATTTTGATTGTTCCTAACCATTTAACAAGTTCTCCTTCAGCACCATGGAAAGATTTTAAGCCCGTTTTAGAAAAGTGCTGTCATTAGCTAAGTCCTCTTACATAGATTATTCTTCATTTCCTAGAGATAGGAATGGAGAAACTATCTGAGGTGAGAATCATTTAGGAGTCTATTGAACACACAGACATCTGTTGAATTATATAACCATAAAAATATTTAAAAATCCTTTCACTTTGTTTCTTTAATTCCTTGATCCTGTTTCCTCCCATTAAAAACTATCATAAAATGCTCTTTTGTTCTATTCTGTGCAATTGTCAAAGGACAAATTTTACTTTTCTTGAAGATAATAATCTTGTAATTATTTATGGGCTCACACATTTTCTTTCAGTCAATTTGTTCAAAAGATTTCTCTTTGAATACCATTTTCCCAGCATGATGGTTAAAAATGGCATGAAATTACAATCAGAAGTGTGACTACAAACATAATGGTTACATTCTGGTTAAATTTGCCATTTAAAAAAATAATGGGACATCGTTTAATGTTATACCGGTTGCCTTTTGTGCCTTTACTTTATTAAAATTTTGCCGATTGAAAACACAGTAACAAAATGCTTTGTAGGAAGGCTTGTGTCTAGGGGAATCTGTTGAACATGCCCATCATGAGTTGAAATTTGTTAATCTTGACATTTTTACCATTATCTTTTACCTTTATAGTATTACATAATTCAAAGCTTTGAGTAGTAGAAATGAAACTTGATAGAATGAGTATCATTTTTCTCTGTAGATTAAATGCTTCATATTCCCACATAGGAAAAATAATAGAAAACTTTGGTATAATAGGTTATTTATGACTATTCCTTGATTCCAAATAAAGCATTGATTAACTCCATTTGGGAATACTCAGAATTCCTTAGTAATTATTGGTATCAAACAGATCCACTTGATGAGTTGGTAATAATAAAAACTAATTTAGGTGCAGATCACTCAAAATATGTGATAACTGAAATATAAGACTAAAGTGAAATTTATGTTTATATTCATTTTGAACAAAAGATTTGCTTAGTAATTTTTAAAAAGAAATATGAATTGGGGATTTAGAGAACAGATTAAGAACTTTATCAGAACACAACTACATATAAAACACAAAGCAGTCATTACAAATGAACTTACTGTATTTTTCAAATCTGCACTGAAGGAATCTTTGGTAACAATTTTTAAGCTAGTGACATCTCTCACTGTACATTTCAAGTTAGTTTACTGACTACCTACAAAATGCAAGGTAAAGCACAAGGGATATAATAGATAGGAGTAAAATACAAGCCACATCTTAATTTTGGACAGGACATGGGAATTCACATATTAAACATTTTACAACTGAACAGTACCATACCAGGAAATGTGCTTTTAGACACCAAATTAATGATTTGGAGGAAAGGGAGAGGCAGTAGTTATGCTTTAATGGATGGTTAGATTTAGTTATATAGAGAAGAGAGTAGATGAACTCCAGTCAGGAAGAAAATAATTCAAATGGAGTTGGCCACAACATTGGGAAAGACAACCTAGCTCAAACGAAGTGTTCATGTTTGGAAAAAGCTGGGTGTTAGGGTTAGACTACCAGTACAGAGCCAAACTTTAGAGAGCTGTGATTACTAGTAACAGTAGGTAGGACTTTATTCTGGACATGGTTAAGAGCCAGTGAAGATATATAAGAAGGAAAGTCAAATGATGAATATATAGAAAGCTCAGTATATTAACCATGTACAATGTGGATTTTAGGGACATAGGAAAATCATTTAGGAGTCTATTGTAATAATTTTAGGGTGCTGTGATGAAGGCTTGGACTGATACTGGAGCAGGAAGGGACAGATATTGGGGATATTTCCAAATTGAGGAAGCAAATATAACTTGGTTACTCATTGAATATATGTGACATCCATCAGAAAAAGGAAGTTCAGAAGTGACTCTAAGGATTTCTTGGAGACTAAAAACTACATTTCATTAACATGAACAGGAAGGTTGGGTATTGAAATCTTTTATATATATAATATATATGGAATTATATATGGGAAGTTAATTAGGCCATATTTAATTCACTGGGAAGTGATAAATCACTTATCTCTGAATAAGCTATGCATATTGTGGATTATACACACTCTTAGATAGTGGAGACCACTTCATCTCCCTTGGTTCCTTCATATTCTCTGATTCACAATGTTTGTACTCTTGTTTGCCTTTGAGTTTTTACAGGCCTCTACAACCTCATATAATACTACCCCAGAATAGTCTGCATCAAAATGAGCTATGTCATCTCTGTAGATTGGAGAGACAGGAATAGGATTGTCCAAAACTAATTTGGGACTCCTTACCCATAATCTGTCACTAACATGGTATGGGAGCTCAGTCACAGGAATGACATCCTCTGTTATCTACATACCCTATTTTCTCCTTTTTATTGTTACCCTTACCCCTAATGGTGATAATGCAGAAGGAATGGAGTCCAAAGAAAAAGTTAAAGTAAATAAATAGCATCACTGACTACTGAGCAGTTGCATTTTGTTTGATGGTGAATTGCTGTCCAGCATTGTCAATAGAACACGTCATCTCATTCTAGTTTTCTGATATTATGGAACTGAAACACATGATCTATCACTTGGCCTACAGAAAGTTATTCAGTATTTTAAACAAGACAATGAGTCTAAAGAGCATTAATAAGATATGAATCTCTTAGAAATATCTCTTATTGTTACCAGTTTATTAAGCAGCTGGTAATTGAGTACCAACTCTGTGTAAAGCAGTATAAAGTATGACACAAAAGTATATTTCATCAATTCATTCAAACATTTTTGAGCACTTATTTGACAAGTGCTGTCTGTCCTTGTGCTCACACACATTATAGACAGGGAAACTAATCATTGAAAAAAATATGTAATCAAGTTCTAAATGGTTGCATTTGGAAATACAGATTTAAATACAATAGCAGTTGTAATTCTCAAGGGTGGACTAAAAATTGTTATGAAAAATTTAATGTACAGATAATCAAAAGCTATTTCAAAAAGTTCTAAGAATCTAAAATTCAACCTGGGGTGCAGCAATTAAAGTATCCTAAATTGAAATTTTAAAACAGAATTTTAGTGACAGCTTAAATTAAAGCAAAATCCTTAGGAATTAAATTTTAAATTATGCTTATTTTTATTTATTATAGATTGTAATCTTGGCTGTTGTAAGTGTTAAATCTGAAGGTGATCTTTTGGAAACCCTATAATACAAATATTATTTTCAAATGAGAAAACTAGTGCATAATTAAATGGTATTAAGCTAAATAAAATTACCTTCATATTAGACACAAAAGCATATTTTGATTTTCTGAAAAACAAAAACCACAAGGAATTTAATTAGAAACTAATTATTTCATATAGGTACACTAGTTGAAAAGAAGGGTATATAAATTTAATGTGATATTTAGGACTAAGAACTGGAATTTAACATGAAGAATCCTGAGAAATCACCAATCATGTGGTTAGTGTCAGGGTAATCACCAAGCAAGCATTTAAGAGGCTCAGTAAGTTGCTTGACACATTTGGAAAGGAGAACAAAAACAACCACAGCAAAATAAAACTCTTTAGTGAAGCAGCACTAAGTTTCCAAGATGCAAGACAATTATACAAATGGTGTAACAAAAAGAGACATTTCAACTCTTGGGCATTCTCACTTTGGAATAAACCCAAGAAAGTATTACTCTTCATCAGGACCTGTTTCCCTTTCCTGTTTACACTGCAGTATGAGACTTCATTATGCTGGATGGATGTGAAAGAAGGAAGCTGGTCACATGTCTTTGGGGAAACCAGCCAAAATAGAGAAATGAAATGGAAATTCCACAGCCAATGACGAAGTGAATAGAGCAGCAGTTCACCCCGTTCTAGTTCCAACTTTAGAATATATGCTGCTAGATAGAATGAGTATTCTTTTCCTCCCAATTCATGTTAGCGTTTGTTAGTTAATGGTAAACTTAGTACTTGGTGTTTCTAAGGAAATGCAATATTTTTTTTTCCATTAAAGTCATCTTATATTTCTGTGCCTTGTAGAACTAATTATTATTTTATTGCCAATTATTTATAACACCAATAAGAATTATATCAGATGCTATGACATACTAATAGAAAAAAAGAGACAAGTCATGTATTTATTATTTTGCCTCACTTTTCAAAACATTAAAACTTGTTTCTTTTTTTCTAATTTGAGGTATGTCACTGTCATTTATGTACTTAGAAAGCAGTAGGATTTGAGAGTATTGTAAAAATAAGACTTCACACTTCTAACTTCAGAATTTGACTATTTTGCAAATGGAGAAACCTAGGCTAGCTGGACTACTTTCCTAGATAACAGAAGGCATATATAAGGGAATGGAAGACAAACTCATTGGATAAAAAGAGATTAATTTCTGTTATTAGAACAGATTTAGTATTTATCGATTTTGCTAATTTTGTATATTTTACAGACTATTATAGTCCATTTCTAGAAGAACAACTGCAGCATTAAATCTTTATACCTTAAAAATTTAGCTAACTTGCATTATATTTAATTTTTATAGTAGGCATTTGATAATCCTTTGCACTGCTAAATCTATGTGCCAGATCTCCTGAATATTGTAAAAACTCAATGCATAGGAGTTTGCAAAATTTCTGTTTGCAAAGTGATTGATTCTAGTTGTCCCTCACTTTAGATTCTTTTGGGGCAAAAAAATCCTCAAAGATAAAATGTTAGCTAGATCTAAGAACTCATTGAGGATTCTTCCCAAAAACAGAAATGAGAAAATAAAATTTAAATAACAAAAAGAGGTCAACTTTGCTCTATAGCCAAATGTTTCATCTTTTCATAAATGTCTTTGTTTGATAACATATGGATAAAAGCACAGTGCAATTTTGAAACATGCCCAGTATTTTCCAGTTACAGTTAGCAATATAAAGCCTTCAGATAGATGCTGTTGAAACATTGGTCATCTGTCTGATACCATCTCACTTTCAGAAGTTCCATGAAGATAGTAAGAAGTGAAAAGTTTTCCAAATTTAGGTCCTGCCTATGATTTGCCAAAATGTGGTCAGATTAGATGCTATTGATTATTTTACGTGATAGATAATCTTAATGGTTTGTGCTTTTAACTATTTCTACTCCATAGTCTTTAAAGTATTTGAAAACTAAATGTATTTGATTCATGCCATTAAGATTGATAATTCATTTTTTATTTGATTTTCTTTTGCAAGACTGATGGATTAAGTAAATAAGCATTCAGATAATAGCTTATAGGTTATCAGTTTTGAAGTTGTATATTTTAATCATTCTTTGCTTTAATTTCTAAGCTACCCTATATTGAATCATAACTGACTCTATGAAACATTTTATTTATAAAATGTATTATTTTCATGTTTTTAAATGAAATGTAACATATATTACAAACAGATTATGAGGCTATAGCTACATGAATTTTCACAAAGTGTAACCACCTACTACCCAGATCAAGAAATAGAAATCTACCAGAACCTCAAAGCTCTGTTGTGTCCTCTTCCAGTAGACTATCCTGAACCAAAGCAAGTATGATCTTGACTTCTAAAACCACAGATTAAGGGTTTTTTGGGTTTGTTTTTGTTACTCTGTTATTATTGAGATAAAAGTCATATAACATAAAATCATGAAATTTACTATTTTAACCATTTTAAAATCAACAATCGGTGGTTTTCAATATATTCACAATGTTTTGGAAACATCAGGAGTATCTAATTCCAGAACATTTTCATCACTCCCAAATGAAATCTCACACCTAATAAGAAGCCATATCCTATTCCTCTCATCCCCTAAAGATTACTAATTTAACTTTCACTTATCTATGGATTTGCCTTTTCTGCACAATTCAAATAAATGGAAGCATACAATGTGTGACCTCTTGTGTCTGGCTTATTTTACTTAATCTGTTTTCTGTGTTCATGTTGTAGCATGTATCAATACTTCATTCTTTCTATGGCTAATAATATTCCTCGGTATGGATATGCCATATTTTGTTTATTAATTCATCAGTTGAATATTTGGGTTGTTCCCACTTTTTAGCTATTATGAATAATGCTGCTATAAACAATTGTGTACATGTTTTCATGTGAATATATTAAAACCATAGATTAATTTTGTTTATTTTTAAGTTTTATAGTGTGTTTGACTTATTTTATGGAACATTTGGTTTGTAGGCTTCAGCCATGCTGTTGCTTGTAGAAATAGTTTATTTTTGTTATACATAGTACTTTTGTATGCCTATATCACAATTATTTTTACATTCTGTAAATGGGCATTTATGTTGTTTTCAGTTTGGGACAAGTATTAATTATATGTACCATTCAAATGTACCATTTTTGGTGAGAATGTGTATTCATTTCTAGAGAATATGTATTCATACCTAGGAGTGGAGCTTGGTATGTCTAGTTTTACTTACTATCAGTTTTCCAAGGTTGTATTAATTTACACCCCACCAGCAGTTATGAGAGTTCTAGTTACTCTGCAACCTCACTAGCATCTGGTATTGTTTGACTTTTATTTCGCCAATTTGGGAGGTGTTTACTGAAATCTAATTGTAGTTTTAATTTACATTTCTCAACTAAAATCAGAAATTGTTGCATAGATCATTATAGAAGAAATCTTGAAGCTTGTAAAAAAATTAATTTATTTGAAAGCTGCCTTGTAGTGAATTTTCTAGACGTTTCTATGAGGGGAATCTAATAGAATGTCAAAGACATTCATATTAATGAACTTTTAGTAATTAATAAAAGTCACACTGTTAATTGATAAAGCAACATTTTAAACTATATTCCTATATATTGTGGCTGCTCTCTATTCATATTGGAAAAGGGTTTATACCTAACTGCAAAGTAATAAGGCAATTGTAGGGATAAAATTGAATTTGGATTGTGGTTTAAAATTTCCTTCTAAGTTTAGGGAAAATAGCAATTTTATATAAAATGGATGAAATTCCATGTGATGGAAATATTTCCAAGTTACTATATAGTATCTAGTTTGCCTGAAAATGCTCTCTCTCCATCTTCTACATGCCATCTACAGATGAAAATCCCTAAAATATGGCAAAATAGAAACCCAATGCAGAAGAAGAAATTGTAAGAAAAATGTGAAACATTTGCAAACAACGTTTCAAACCAAAGTTTCAAAAGAGTTCCATAATGTAAGATAAATTCTTTAGTAAAATAAAGAAATACAAGGAAGACATTTATTTCATAGTAGTAATTGCACCTTAAAGGAAGAGATCAATTAGAAATTGACTTTAATGAAAGTGAGTATTTTCATTTTTTCCATTTTTTTACCCATATTATTAAATCACCCCCTCCACCCCCCAGTGTGGTTACTATCTGTAAACACAGAAAGATGTTACTGAATCATTGGCTGTTTTCTCCATGCTATACTACTATACCCCTAGCAACTTACATTATGACTGAGAAATTTTGAACCCCTTTGTCCTCCTCAACCTCCCCTATCACCCACCCCAACCCCTCCCCTATGGCAAACACAAGTCTCCTCTCAGTGTCTGTGAGTCTACTGCTGTGTTGTTCATTCAGTTTTGCTTTGTTTTTATATTCCACAAATAAGTAAAATCATACAGTGTTTGTCTTCCTTTGCCTGACTTATTTCACTGTGCATAATACCCTCTAGGTTCATCTATGTTGTTGCAAGTGGTAGGATTTCTTTTCTTTTTTCTTTTTTTTTCACCAATCATTTACTTATTTATTCAGTTTTAGTATATATGTACAGCAATTTCAGAATTGTTAACTTATACCCCCATGAGAAAGTGTGCCAATGGGAGTATAGTACATACAATATATGTCTTTGGTCTTCGTTTCCAGTCAAGTTAAAATTCCATATTCCAAAGTTATTTAGATCAGCACCTTTGTTCCCCCTCTTACTTAGTCACTTTTATCCTCCCCAGAACATACAGCACTGCTTGGCCTAGAGAAAGCATTTTTTAAATACTTAATAAATGAGCAAATGACATGCACATTCATTAGGGTCCATATTTTTTCACCTTTTACAGAAACTACTTTAACAGCCGTTACAGACTATATGCCTTCCCTGATCTACTTTTTTTTTGAGAGAGCATGTCTCATATTTATTGATCAAATCATTGTTAACAACAATAAAATTCTGTATAGGGGACTCAAAGCACAATCATTAATCAACCCCAAGCCTAATTCTCAACAGTCTCTAATCTTCTGAAGCATAACGAACAAGTTCTTACATGGTGAACAAGTTCTAACATAGTAAATAAGTTCTTACATGGTGAACAGTGCAAGGGCAGTCATATCACAGAAACTTTCGGTTTTGATCACGCATCGTGAACTATAAACAATCAAGTCAGATATGATTATTCATTTGATTTTTATACTTGATTTATATGTGAATCCCACATTTCTCATGTATTTATTTATTTATTTTTTAATAGAACGCTGAAGTGGTATGTAGATGCAAGATAAAGGTAGAAAACATAATTTAGTGCTGTAAGAGGGCAAATGTAGATGATCAGGTCTGTGCCTATAGACTAAGTATTAATCCAAGCTAGACAAGGGCAGCAAAACATCCATGGATGCAGAAGCTTTCTCTCAAAAGGGGAGGTGAGGTTCTAAGCCTCACCTCTGTTGTTACCCAATTTCTCACCTGATGGCCCCGCTGCGACTGTGCCTGTCTTAGGTTGTTCCTCCCTTGAGAAATCTTACTTGTCTCTGGCTAAACAGCCATCTTCCAGGGCCATACAGGGAAATGTAGAGTTGGTAAGTGAGAGAGAAGCAATATTATTTGAAAAGGTTAGCTTTTTTACTTCGTTGCAGATTTATGCCCTGTGGCTTCTATGCCCAGCATTTGTCTTGAGGTATCTTTACCACTTGGAAGAATTATGATACTCGGTAATTTTCTATATGAGGCATGAATTCTACTTAAGGGTTGTAATTAGGAAGGAAGAAGAAAAGCTATAGAAGTAGCAGATGGAAGAAAACATGGGAAGATTGATTATTTCTTTGACATATCTTCTTGTAGAGCAACATAAGCATGTATAGGTTTTAACAAACCACTAACTAAATTGCGTACACACATTAACATAATAGGAATACAGATACATAACCAAAGCAGACCTACAATTACCAGCCATCTCCCATGAAACCAAGAAAACCAGTTAGGCACCCTAGGCATTTGTGAAAACTTATCAATAATATGATGGATATTGTCTAACTGAATTTGAATAGTTTGAGAAAAATCAGACAAATTAAAACAGTACATTCCTGGGAATTGTTCAGATCCCATATGTTCTTTTAACAGTAGATAGTCTATAGTCACACTATTTTGAAGCACTGTAACTTGCACTTCTCCTAATTCTTGGTTGAGTTCCAACAATAGAGATCCAGACAAATTTGTTGTTTTACTGTATGCAGGGCCAGCTTAGATATCTCCTTCTTCATTCCAATGGTAAGTCCGGGAACCAGAGGGATGAATGCAGCTACAGGTGCAACAGCGCCAGGATCTTTGTTGAAGTTTTTGATGATCATCTTCTGGAATGACTCTTCCAGACGATGTTGACGTTGGATATTCTTCTTCATATCATATCTTAATTCGTTTTCTGGTAGCCAAATAAGGGTTTGATCCTCTGTATAAACACAAACAAACCCTTTCTCCACACTTTGATATGACCTTTATACCATTGTGAAGAACCTATTGGAGACAACCACACAGGAACTGCTTTTTTTTTAAGAGAAAGAAATATTATCAGAAAAATGTACTTCCATAGCTGACCATCTGATACCCTTTAAAAGATCAAAATTAAGGATATGTAAAGCATGCATTAATTGTTGATTTGCAGTTAATTTTATCTTACCAGGTAGTAATCCCCCCTTTTTTGTTATCATTAATCTACAATTACATGAAGAATATTATGTTTACTAGGCTCTCCCCTACACCAAGTCCCCTGCACAAACCCCATTACAGTCACTGTCCATCAGAATAGCAAAATGTTGTAGAATCACTACTTGTCTTCTCTGTGTTGCACAGCCCTCCCCTTTCCCCACCCCCCACATTATACATGCTAATCATAATACCTCCTTTCTTCTTCCCCATCCTTATCCCTCCCTACCCTCCCATTCTCCCCAGTCTCTTTCCCTTTGGTAACTGTTAGTCCATTCTTGGGTTCTGTGATTCTGCTGCTGTTTTGTTCCTTCAGTTTTTTTCTTTGTTCTTACACTCCA